GAGAAATTTTCTTAAAGAATGCTACTAACAAAAAGTTCTTTTTTGTTAAATTAGGTTAATAGGAAATAGTCTCGTGTCAGATTTAACTTCGTGGAAGGAATCTCGGTCAATGTTGGAATGTTTCTCACCCTGCGGGAAACCTTTTATGAAAATAAATTTAACGATTTAGCTTTTTTCCAACATTAAAAGAACCATATATTGTCACATTTTGAAGTTTTTAACTTTATCTCCAGAAATTCCTGAAAGTTGAGCCAGAACTGATTATAAATTATATTATTATGAATCATTATCAACAATTTTCGTACTAAACATTTTTTTCTATTGGGTTTAGTTTATGAGTCATGATAGATTTGTAGAACACAAATCGTCAATTTTTGCATTTTAGTGATATTCGCTTTATATCTAGAAAATTATGATAACTAGGTTGATACTAGTCAGGGATTATATTTTGTTTGGTTAAGTATAAACATTTTTAAATTTAATATTTTCCTCCATCGCTTTTAGTTTTTGCGTTATGATGGCTCTTTAAATAAAAATCATATATTTTGACATTTTGAAGCTTTTGACTTTATCTCCATAAATTCCTGAAAGTTGAACAAGAACTGATTACAGATTATATTATTATAAATCATTATCAACAATTTTCGTACTAAATATTTTTTTGTATCGGGTTTAGTTTATGAGTGTTGATAGATTCTTATGACACAAATCATCAATTTTTGCATTTTGGTGATATTCGCTTTATATCTAGGAAATTATGATAACTAGGCTGATATTAGTTAGGGATTATATTTTTCTTAGTTAATTATGAACGTTTTTTGTATATAATATTTTCCTCCATCGCTTTTAGTTTTTGCGTTATGATGGTTTTTTAAATAAAAGTTATATATTTTGACATTTTGGAGCTTTTGACTTTATCTCCAGAAATTCCTGAAAACTGAACAAGAACTTATTATGGATTATATTATTATTAATTATTATCAACAAATTTCGTACTAAATATTTTTCTCTATCGGGTTTAGTTTATGGATCATGATAGATTCTTATAATACAAATCCTCAATTTTTGCATTTTGGTGATATTCGCTTTATATCTAGGAAATTATGATAACTAGGCTGATACTAGTTAGGGATTATATTTTTCTTCGTTAACTATGAACGTTTTTTTGTATAATATCTTCCTCTAACGCTTTTAGTTTTTGCGTTATGAGGGCTCTTTATGTAAAAAACTATATATTTTGACATTTTGGAGCTTTTGACTTTATCTCCAGATATCCCGGAAATCTGAACAAGAACTTCTTATAGATTATATTATTATGAATCATTATCAACAATTTTCGTACTTAACATTTTTCTCTATCGAGTTTAGTTTATGAGTCATGATGGATTTTTAGTACACAAATCCTCAATTTTTGCATTTTGGTGATATTCGCTTTATATCCAGGAAATTATGATAACTAGGCTGATACTAGTTAGGAATTATATTTTTCTTGGTTAATTATGAACGTTTTTTTATATAATATCTTCCTCTAACGCTTTGAGTTTTTGCGTTATGATGGCTTTTTAAATAAAAATCATATATTTTGACATTTTGGAGCTTTTGACTTTATCTCCAGAAATTCCTGAAAGCTGCACCAGTACCAATTATAGATTATATTATTATGAATCATTACCAACAATTTTCGTGCTAAACATTTTTCTCTATCGGATTTAGTTTATGTGTCATGATAGATTCTTATAAAACAAAACCTCAATTTTTGCATTTTGGTGATATTCTCTTTATATCTAGGAAATTATGATAACTAGACTGATACTAGTTAGGGGTTATATTTTTCTTGGTTAATTATGAACGTTTTTTGTTTATAATATCTTCCTCTAACGCTTGTGGTTTTTGCGTTATGATGGTTTTTTAAATAAAAATCATATATTTTGGAGCTTTTGACTTCATCTTCAGAAATTCCTGAAAGCTGAACGACAACCTATTATGGATTATATTATTATGAATTATTATCAACAATTTTCGTACTAAACATTTTTGTCTACCGCGTTTAGTTTATGTGTCATGATAGATTCTTATAAAACAAATCCTCAATTTTTGCATTTTGGTGATATTCGCTTTATATCTAGGAAATTATGATAACTAGGCTGATACTAGTTAGAGATTATATTTTTCTTGGTTAATGATGAACGTTTTTTTATATAATATCTTCCTCTAACGCTTTTAGTTTTTGCGTTATGATGGCTTTTTAAATAAAAATCAGATATTTTGACATTTTGGAGCTTTTGACTTTATCTCCAGAAATTCCTAAAAGCTGAACAAGAACTTATTATAGATTATGTTATTATGAATCATTATCAACAATTTTCGTACTAAACATTTTTCTCTATCGGGTTTAGTTTATGTGTCATGATAGATTCTTATAAAAAAAATCCTCAATATTTGAATTTTGGTGATATTCACTTTATATCTAGAAAATTATGATAACTAGGATGACACTAGTTAGGGATTATATTTTTCTTGGTTAAGTATAAATGTTTTTTTATATAATATCTGCCACTAACGCTTTGAGTTTTTGCGTTATAATGGCTTTTTAAATAAAAATCATATATTTTGACATTTTGGAGCTTTTAACTTTATCTTCAGAAATTCCTGAAAGCTGCACTAGCACTAATTATAGATTATATTATTATGAATCATTATCTACAATTTTCGTGCTAAACATTTTTCTCTATCAGGTTTAGTTTATGAGTCATGATAGATTCTTAAACAGAAATCATCAATTTTTGATATTCGCTTTATATCTAGAAAACTATGATAGCTAGGCTAAAACTAACTAGGAATAATATTTTTCTTGGTTTATTATGAATACTCTTTGTACACAACTTTTTCGTCCATGGCGTTATGATGGTTTTTTAAATAAAAACCATATATTTTAACATTTTGTGGTTTTTCACTTTATCTCCAGAAATTGCTCCAAGTTAAACAAGAAGTGTTTATAGATTATGTTATTTTGAATCANTTATGATAACTAAGCTGATACTAGTTAGGGATTATATTTTTCTTGGTTAATTATGAACGTTTTTTATATAATATCTTCCTCTAACGCTTTGAGTTTTTGCGTTATGATGGCTTTTTAAATAAAAATCATATATTTTGACATTTTGGAGCTTTTGATTTCATCTCCAGAAATTCCTAAAAGCTGAACAAGAACTTATAGATTATGTTATTATGAATCATTATCAACAATTTTCGTACTAAACATTTTTCTCTATCAAGTTTAGTTTATGTGTCATGATAAATTCTTATAAAACAAATCCTCAATTTTTGCGTTTTGGTGATATTCGCTTTATATCTAGGAAATTATGATAATTTGGCTGATACTAGTTAGGGATTATATTTTTCTTGGTTAATTATGAACGTTTTTTTATATAATATCTTCCTCTAACGCATTTAGTTACTTTTAAATAAAAATCATATATTTTGACATTTTGGAGCTTTTGACTTTATCTCCAGAAATTCCTGAAAGCTGCACTAGTACTAATTATAGATTATATTATTATGAATCATTATCAACAATTTTCGTGCTACACATTTTCCTCTTTCGGGTTTAGTTTATGAGTCATGATAGATTCTTGTAACAGAAATCATCAATTTTTGCATTTTGGTGATATTCGCTTTATGTCTAGGAATACGAACAACCATATACCTATTTTAACATTTTGTGGTTTTTCATTTTATATCCAGAAATTGCTCCAAGTTAAACAAGAAGTGTTTATAGATTATGTTATTTTGAATCATTATCAACAAATTTTGTGGTCAACATCGAGTTTAGATTATAAGTTGTGATGGATTTTAAAATACTTCTTATTATAAATGTTAACTTGTATTAAAAGTATTGATAAGAATACGTCGTATTTGCATAAAGAAGAATCTATGTATATATAATATATGTATATATAAAGTAAACCAGTTAGCTATAATTGGTTTTAGAATAATTTCCAATCGATTTTGCGATTTTCCCTCTAACAAAAACGAATCTGTTTCATTTTTAACCGAAATCCGCCCCCTAGTGTCCAACTGTAATTAACCATTATATATGGAAATTAATTGGGTAATTATTCGCGTTTATTGATTATTCCCCTAATTAGGTCAACAGCCAGCGCTTAATTAATCGCTTGCATTACCCCGGAATCGGTTTATTTAAAAAACCGCATGAGATCACGATTCTAAACCTCCACAAGACAACGACAATAATTAACATACGCGTAATTTCGAGTCGGGTTTAATTAGCGTTAACTCGGAATGCAGACGTCGCGCCGGCTTCTTCTCGCCTCGTTTTAACGCGAGTGACATCATCAGGCAGTTACCGCCCCTGTAAAATAGCGATCCGAAAGCTCTTTTTAAAGCGACTTTAACGGCCATCCCAAGTCGTAAAGTGAATACTAAAGTAAATACTAAAATAAATACGGGGAGTAAAACTTCGGTAATTAATTTCGTTTAAAAAAATCTCTGATACTAATTAAATGGGGGGAGTTGGGTTATATAAATTTTATATCTTTACGAATTGGGGGGTTGAAATAAAAGGTGCACGAAGATATCGATATAAAGAAAACGAACAAGAACCGGGATTGAGAGGTCGGCTTTTAAGAGAAAAGCTCTCCAAACTTCCTTCCGGGTGAACTTCTCGTTTTTCGTAGAAACAAAGCTTCGGCACTCAAAGAGCAAAGTTGTATTGCAGCGACGAGAACGATCAATTTCAATAAAAACTTAACCTTTCACATTTTCTTGTTTTACATTTCAAACGTTAATCAACGATTCAAAGTGAAAAAGTTGACTCTTACTCAACACCGTTAACATAAACCAATTTAAAGGCAGCAATCGGTTTAAAGTGGCCAATTAGACGTTAACTAGGTCGCAAAAGTAATGCAAATTTCCTCTCTCACTTAATATTTTATTTTAAAGCTTATATAGTACCTTCAATTAAAATTTTTAAAACTTACCTGTTGTTAAACAAGCGCTACGCCCACAAAGGATGTGGAATCGGCCTTCCATCTCTTGGTAAACTAGGTGGGTGTTGCAAGAATGGTGGTAATTTTCCAGGGGGAGGTGGTGGAGGTAACCCAGGACTTCTGGATCTTTCTAAATGAGTAGGCGTGGCCGTGGCATAAATATTAATTGAACCCCTTTGATGAACGCAACTTCTTTTTATATCCGGCATGGCAAATTGCAGTTTTTGCCAAAACTGTCTATCCCCCCATTCAATAACCGTATTCGTCTTTAAATAAAGTCTCAAATCGGGATCTAAATCTCTTTGGGGGAGCTCCCCGGTAACAATAAATATCAATTTCCTTTTTCTGTCCTTCAAAACTTCGTGAAGAGCCGATTTAAATTCAAATCGACACCATTCGTTGTGTAAAAAATTTTTGCTTAGAACCACGATAGTTCTTCTTGAAGATTCGACTGCTTCGATGATGGTATCGGCGACGTAGGCGGAAACGTTAAAATCTCGATAGTGAAGGCAAAGACGATATTGCGGGTCGGCTCCTTCAAGACCAGGAGCTAAAACTTGGGTTATAAAACCTTCGTCTTTAACGCTATAACTAACGTAAGCGTCAAAAAGTCGATCTTTATCTTGTTGCTCTTCGAAAGCTGTGGTTTTGTAGCACATTCTTAAACCACATCGGGAATAAATCCAAACTCTTAATTCTCTTCTATAATAAAAAGCTCCGCAAACCAGAACAACGCTGACAATAAAAATACACATCGTTGCAAGAAGTAATGGTAAATAATCATTAACAACTTGATTTTCAATTATGGCTCTTGTATCGCTTGTGTATGCAGAGCAAGTAGTTGAGTTAAAATCGTTTAGGTGAGGCCCAAAAGTTTTCGTGACGTTGTTGTACATACAAATAATTTTGTTTGAATCTAAAACTTTTCCTTGATTAACTTGTAACCATTTGCGATAATTTTGAACGTATTGGCAATCACAAGACCATTGATTATCGCCCAATCCGATATCAACCAAGTAAGGATTTAAAGAAAATTGCCAAACTTCAAAAAGTCTTAATCTATTCCCATCTAATCTTAGCACCTCCAAATGTTTTAATTCCAAAAATGTTCTGTTATCGATGTGGTGAATTAAGTTACCATGCAAATAAAGTTCTCGCAAATTTTCCAAAGTTGCCAATTCAAATCCTAACAACTCTTTAATTTTATTATTTTCTAAATGAAGAATTGTTAGACGTCTTAATCCGCTAAAAGTGTGGTTATAAATCGCTGCTATATTCGAGTTATTAGCGTATAAAACTTTAAGATTTTTTCTTCCAATGAAAGAATGACTAGATAATTCTCCAAAGTTATTACCGTCTAAATAAACTTCTGTAGCGTCCATTGGTATTCTACTTGGCATCTCAGTATATCCAACGCCGGAACATTCCACTACGTTAGCGGACCAACTTTGATCGTTATAACAAGTACAATTAGTGGGACACGTCATCTCACAATCGCAAGCATCAAAATCACAACAGTGACAAAGAGCAAAACAATGCGTTTTGTACGTACAAAGAAATTGGGATGATTCCGCGTTAATTAGCGGAAGATAATTACTATCCCTGTTATATAATAGTTTACAATAAATACTTTCTAAATCCATAACTCTTGGATGTTGTCTTAAATGATCCAGTTTATTGATTCTTTGTAACCATTCCATTGTGCAATCGCATTGGAATGGATTACCCCCGATGTAGAATTCCGGAAGCGGTTTCTCCGGATCAACAGGAGTTAATCTCAAAGCGTTCAAATCCATTCTTGTTATCTGATTGGCGTAAAGATCAACTCGGGTTAAATTTAATTTCTTCGCAAAAGTATGTGGCTCAACCATCGAAATCAAGTTATCGTTCAAGAACAATAATTCAATGCTATTTGGAACGGCAGCCGCATTCATAGAGGTTAATTTATTGAAGCTTGCGTCCAAAGTTTGCAGTTTAATTTCATTTTCTAAAGCATAATGATTCCCCAATTGCCCAACGTTATTCTTATGCAAATCTAACCATTGCAAATTTTTCGGAATCATCGCATAATCGAACCATTCTATTTTATTATCGGAAACGTTAAGCCATAATAAACTCGGAACGTCGGAAAATAAACCGGTTATATCGGTTAATTCGTTATGGTCTAATCGAACAGCTTGCATATTAGAACTATGTTCGAAAGCTCCCGGTTCGATTCTTCTCAATCGATTTCTAGCTAAATTTAAAATTTGCAAAGCTGGTAAATCCGAAAAAACACGTTTTGTAATCGTTTCAATCTGATTCCCCATTAATCTTAAGCCATATAAATTCGTCATCCCTCTAAAACCGGGTTCTTCCAAAGAAGTGAGAGAATTTTCGCCCAAATCAACAGTTCGCATTAATCTCATGTCTTTTAATGCTAATGGGACCGCTCCTAATAAATTACCATTTAAATTTAAATCTTGGAGACTAGAACAGTTTCGAAAAGCTTCCGGATGTATTCCTTTTAACATATTACTATCCAGGGCCAATAAAGATAAAACATACAGTCCATTTAAAGAATAAGCATCGAGGTAAGTTATTCTATTGTAGGAAAGTAATAATGTATGGAGGTTATTCATAGGAGCGAAAGTATCGGCGGGGATTGTTTCTAATTGGTTATGGTCTAAATGGAGTATTTGTAAGGTGTAAAGATCGCGGAAAAAGGTAGGATCTAACTTGGTAATTCGATTATTTGATAAATTTAGCAATACCAAACGAATTAACCCCGAAAATGTATCACCATTTATCCAAGCACTCGTTAAATGGTTCCTCGATAAATCTAAAGCTAACAATTGTTCAAGATTCGAGAATAAACCCGGCGCTAAAACGCTAATCGAGTTATTTTGAAGGTAAATTTCTTTAATAGAATACGACGAATCTTTAAATAACTCCGATGGGAGCGCGACAACTTTATTATGCGATAAATCAAAGATTTGTAAAGTTTTCAAACCTGCAAGTGCTTTATCCGCAACCATACTAATCTCATTATGGTGAACGTAAAGTTCTCTAAGTCTTCGCAACACGCTGAAACCATTCGCCGGTATTAAGACAAAGTGGTTATAAGACGTGTCTAAAATCTGAATATCTAAACTGCATGGATGAGTGAACGTTTGCGGTGTAGTGGGTGAATGTAAAAGATGTTCATCTTCTTGCGGCGACATTAACGGTTGTGGTGGTTTGGGCGCTTTTTCTCGAAATCCCAAATCGCTAATATCCTGGAGTCGATTTTCGCTGACATTTAAAAACACCATGTTGGTTAAAGGGCAAAAAATGTTTTCAGGAAACGACCAAATGTTGTTACAACTTAAATCGAGACGTTCCAATTGACGTACCGGATTAAAGCTTTCCTGAGAAAAATCCAAACTCATTGCAGGCCAATCCGTGTTGTGAGTTCGAACCGTTAAGTTTCTTAAATCCCTTAATCCGGTTAATGTTCCCGAAGGCCACCTCCCCAACTTGCAGTGTTCCAAATCTAGTTCCCTTAACTTATTCAAATGGAAGAAGCTCCTATCGTCCAAGCTACTCCTAGACATTATATCCTCATCACACTCGATCCTAAGGGCTGTTGTGTGCTCCGAGGGGATCACGCTAAAATTGGTCGTATCAAATTCGCTGTTGATAGTCCTTAACTTGCATGTTAATGAAACTTCAGCAGGAGAATCTCTGATCCACCATTGACAATCATCGGGCGCCTCGTATCTAATTTGCTGAGGCACCGAATCCGTGGGGGATGAATCCAATGACCAAGAAGTCCTCCCAAAAAATACTAATTGAGCACAAACACACACAAATAAAAAGAATGCCATATTTATTACTGCCTTTTTTATCAACCACTACTTATGGCATCACTTCGCGCGATTTTCAGAACCGAATGTTCTATATTTTATGATAAGGGCCGATCTGACCCGTTCACCACCGGGGGCGAACGTTAACTGAAGGTTCCGATGCGGACCACGAGAAGGTTATGTGTGCTGAAACGAACTTCGCCGACGAAACACGAGCTTTGCCCCGCCTGTTTCAGCCGCGGCGAAGAAGAAAATACCGATTTACACGCGCAGGCTACTCTCTACTACCTCTTGTTTGCTGAAGATAAAAGCGCAATTAACGTTTTGATTAATAATAACCGGCGGCTGATTATCGACAACGTTGTTAGTATAATTGAAGCCAACTTGCGTTGTCTTTTATCGCATCGTTTAATAACAACGCACATCATATGAGTCAGTTGATAAAGTTGAACGTAAATAGCAATGAATGAATAATTACATTTGTAAGTGTAATAAAAATTCTTGGTATAATAATTTGTCACACAATTAGATTTTGAATTAATATAAATTAAAAATATATTCCAACATTTTCAATTCGATTAAAATACCATCAAGCTAATGGGTTTCGCGGAAGGAATGAAATCAAGGCTGAAAATTGTATGGTATACAATACTCGAACGATCGAGGATCAAATGAGCCGGCAGAAATTAAAACGGTGACCACCCGCCGGTGTCAATTTTCGCGAAGAAGAAGCTTGGGTTGCCTTCTGGGATGGGTAGTATCGATTTCGCGGCTATAAATAAAAGCGGAATGCCGTCGAAAAAGAACCTCCGCGACGTCGCTAAGCGAAACTATCGAAAAAAAAGGGCGTCGGCGTCGTCGTCGTCCCACCGTAATCGAGTGAACCCGACGCGGACGCCTTCGAGTAGCCCGGTCGTTTGTCACTATTAACGCCGTTCCGACGCCCGCCACCACCACCACCATCCCCCTCTTCCAAAACACCAGGTGGTGCCTCCGGAAGTGATTTTGACCGGAACGCAAACACCTTGACCGGGTAATTCGGTGTCGATATTCGCGGCCGAACCAATATAGCTTTATTGATTTACGAGCTTTGATATTGTTTACCAATAAATATTTGAGGTAAATCTTAAGATTATCTTTTAATTTTCTACGATCAAACGGTTTTTTATTTGAACGTCCAAAGATGAAAAAGAAGAAAAGTCGCGTTTGTAGTTTTTCTCTTCTGTAATTGCAAGCGCGAATAAAGGATTTGTTTGTGGGTCAAGGGTTAGTGGAAGGCTTCGTGCAACAAAAGGAAGCTCCTCTTGTTTGTTGGCTGGGTCGTAGTGGAGACGATCGAAGCGTTGGTCGTCGCAAAGAAAACGACCACAAAAATCGATTTGACCGCATAGCGTCTTTAAAATTAATTCGTCCAAATTCTAAGATTTTTACAATTTGGCGAGAACGACAAAAATAATTTATGAATCGTCAGGCTGCTGACAAGGCGCTCCATGGCGACCTTTCCAATCCTCAAAAAAAAAAAAAGACGAACAAAGCGAAAAAGGGCCCCCGCCGCAACCGAACCGTTCGTTCGTCCGGCGGGCGGTTTCTTTTGAATCTATTCGTAGATCGCGCAGAAATTATTGCGCCCTTTGTAGCAGGATATCGAAAAACGTTCGCTGCCGCAACCATTGTCTCGTCTAGTCCTTGTAGACTTTGTCCCTCGGACGGGACGTAATAAATTAAATCGAACCGAGTCAGACCCATTGTGCTTGAGTATAGGCCTATTTGGTCCATCTTTTTTCTGGTAATCGTTCGTAAATTTCATATGTTTGCTTGGTGGTGAATGTGAAGATTGAAAACTTAACAAAAACTTGATGTCATCATTTTAAAGGTGATTTATATTGTAGCGTCTTGTCTACAAAATCTACTCCCTGAAATCCAAATGTACTACGATATATTTTTTACAACACTTAAAGGTCTTCATCGTTTTTTGGGAATCTTAAATTTTTATTACCATTTTATTCCCAAAATTTCTGAAGTACTTATTTCGTTATATAATATAGTAAATAATCTTCAGTCACAAAAAACAAAATTGTTGCTTCTTGGACAGATGAACAAGAATCCCCTTCACTAAAGCAAAGGATTTATTGTCTAAATGTACAATTTTAACTCATCAAAAGACTTACTTTCACTATATACAAACGCCTCAGATACTTCAATAGGTGCTGTCTTATCTCAGACTACATTACATAGACAACATATCGGGTAGGCGGACCAACCAATCTTGCACCTTGACTCTACGGATGTATTGTACCCCGATAGATATCGTTATCAAATTTCACCGTGCAGTCCAATGCTCTTAACGAACATTAATACCTTGCTCGGTGGAAGGTCATTCAGATCCTTTGAGGAGGTAAACTGCGACCCAAAAATCGAGAATCTGATACGATTAACGCAGATACTAAGGTAGTGGCATAAAACGTCTCTGCTTCCTCCGCACATAGTCGGCATTCAACATCGTCGGCTAAACCCAACAAGTTGAGGTGTGCTTTTAATCGGCAGTGCCCATTAAAGACACCCCTTAGAACTTTTATGCTGCTACGAGCAAGTCCTAAAATATTCCCGGGTTTGACAGTGGCGATGTTAATAAACACCTTAGCATGTCTCATTCCAGAAGAACTGGTCCACAGTAGGCGAACTCTCTCTTCAGCCCACAGTCCAATCCTATATTTGGCAATCGCAAATGATACACCAACTGCTGGTTCCGGCCCCACAAACACTTTAGCGCTACCCTCTCGTGCTAGCTCATCTGCCACTTCATTGCCAGCAACCCCAGAATGACCCGGGACCCAGATCAGAGAATCTCTGTTATCACAACTCAGTGTGTTTAATGTTCTCTTGCAATCATTAACCAGAGCCGACACCGTTTTCACGGCTTGCAGCGCCTGGAGAGCGACTTGACTGTCTGAGAAAAGTCGTACTGTCATGTTCTTCACCCCTCTCTCAAGAAGGATTTTAGCACCCATGTCAATAGCAAATACTTCCGCCTGGAATACAGTACAGTACGTACCCAGGCTGTAAGCTTGGTTAATCGGAGGAGATAGGCCAAGCAGAACCTCCATTGCTAGAGTTGGCGTTGTGATATTTCCAAGCGACACTCGCTCTGAAAATGTTTACCAAAATAGGCAACAACAGTGACCTTCCTTGATGTAACAAAGCAGGAATCTCAGACTAACAACAACGTATCAAGGCAATGTTCTTTAGCATTTTTTCAAAAAAATGTACAAAAGTCCAGTGGAAGTATTTACCTTTTGATAGGGAGCTTCTGGCAATTTATTCTGCCATCAAACATTTTAAACATTTTTTACATGGCAACCAATTTCAAGTGTTTACAGATCATAAACCTTTAATTAGTGCAATTTTTTTCATAATCAGAAAAATCTCCACACCAAACTCGTTCATAAATTATATTGTAGAATGTACATCGTGCCAGACGCACTTTCACGTATTGTAATAGATTCACTGGATTCATCATATCCCTCTCTTAAAGTTCTTAAGGAAGCTCAAGATGTTGACGTAGAATGTCCACATATACTTGTAAACTAAGAAATTGTAAACTTTTTGTTGACAATTAAAACACTTTTAAATTTGAAATAAAAAACATTAAGAGGTCTGAAATACACAAAAATGGATACAGAATACATAATTCACGTCTTGTATTCTAAACCCTTCACACTCCTATCCATCTATTGTACATATAAGATAATGCTCATTTTTCAACATTCAACATAGTCTCTCAATTTTCCCACCAGTTCATCCAATGTGTTCGTTTCTTTTCAATCAACTTTTCGTCACAGGTTGATAATAGTTGGCCCGCTTAACTGGTGGATGCACATGGATGCGACAACCACGCAGCTCCATTCCACCACAAGTTACAATGAACGATTTCGGATGGAAGCAGTCCTTGGGATCCAGGATCATAGCAGGAAACATAGCGCTAATATCGTTCAGGTATGACTTCATGGATATGACTCGTTCTTTGCTACGAGGGCTGCTTGCTACTTAATCCAATTTAACACCACCATGCGAAGATTTCCGGTTCAGTGATTGCCGTGAGTTTGGATAGGATAAACCGAGCAAGATCGGCCAACAATGCGTCACCGCAGGGTTCTAAACGAGGCAAGGAGGTGGACTTCAGTGGATCCACTCTAGATCTAGCAGAAATAAAACTTATTTTAACTGTGTCATTAAGCAAAGTACATCTAAGATACGCCACCGCACTGCAATCGACGGATGGGGCGTCAGAAAATAAGTGGGGTTTGTATTACAATTTCTTGGCAGAATTAATCGTGGAATCGTCAATTGCGATAGTTGCGGCAGTTGAAGTTTGAATTGGTCCCAGTATTTCTGAATATTCATAGACGGAGTTTCAACCTAACCCAACCCAACCCAACCACAGTTTTTGCATGATACATTTCGCAGAAACGATACGAGGAGTGATAAAACTGATGACCTTTTCGTGCAGATCGTTTCACGAGGAACATAAGAAAATCCAAATAAATCATCTTGCGGATGCCAATGAAGACCCAGGACCTTGATGAAACCATCATCTTGGTGATCCAGTTAAATTGGAGCCCCTTCTCGACCGCCCTCAACTCGTATCATCAACTCAGGTGCGTTACAGCAATGATATGACCTGTTGTTGTGATTTAATAACATATTGCCAGATAAGGAGCGGAAGAAACACCGTAAGTTACTGTGTTTAAGTAGTATTCATTTAAACTTTCGTTTGGACAATTTCTCCAGATGATGCGTTGATGATTACGTTGGTGTGGATCGATTAACATTTGACGATACATCTGCTTGATGTCACAGATAAAAACCACTGGCATAAACCGAAAACTGAGAAGAATAGAATCTAACTCAGTTTGAGACCTGTTAGTATTACTTGTTTTGGCGGATGCGTCGAAAACCACTCTTAGTTTAGAAGAATCATTACGTAGTACAGGATGATGTGGGATATAATAGGAAAGCGAAGTATTATAATCTTGCAGAGGAATAGGTGACATGTGCCCCTTTTCTAGGTAATTAATCATATTTTTTTTATATTCTTCATATACCCTTGAATGTTTGATAATTCTTCTTTCAAG